ATAAACTTTTATCTAATTCCATCATACTTTTTATATTAGAAAAGAAAAATTCCAAAAACTTTTGTTACACACTGTATCTTCGTCTACTTCAACGTCACTCCCATATCCAGCAACGATATCTTCATCGGATGGCATTGTGCCTCGCGCCACACTAACAGCAGAGCCAACTCCGATCCACTCATCGACAGATAACAAATTACTCTCACTGATTTCTAATTTTAGCATAAGATCAACAATTTCGGCATTTGCGAATCTTCTATGAAGTCGAAGCTAAATTCTTCTGCATCGTTAATAATTTCAGTTTTATTCCAACAGTCTACGATTGTATTTACTCCAACCTTTTGTAATAGCTACAGTTTGTATTGCATCAAGAAGTGTGAAATTACTGGGTTGCGTTCAATTAGCACGTGCAGAGTTAACCGTTTCAATTCGATTAATGCAAAACAGCTTGACTTAAATGACCAAATAATACCAGCGTCGCAAGGCTGCAGATATGCTGTGGTATTAGGAGGTAAGAAAACTGCTAAAGCTGCTTTAGACAGTGTCAAGTCAACAATCATGGGAGAGCAATTGCTAAGAATTTAGCCAATTTCGTGTTTTATTCATGGATACCGGTGGGATTAAATCGGTAGTCCACGGGTTAGAGTATATTCTATTTCTAATTAAATACTAGTTAAACGTATTTCCGAATCGGCAAAATCTTAATATTAAAACATAAAATTCAATATATTTCAAAGTCCTTTTTTGCTCACATTTTTGTAGAAACCTGCCAATTAATTTTAAAGCCAATTGATTGTATTTTATGAAAAATGACAGAATTTTTATTCATTTTGTGGATGAAGCTGCAGCGTACCATCAATAATTTCTCGATCGTCGATCATATGATCTGCATAATTTGTATCGTTATCGTTAAAAATTGTACAATAACTTCACAACCTATCTTGTTTCATAAAATACAATCAATTGGCTTCAAGCCCATGTAAAATTTATTGGCAGTTTTCTACAAAAAAGGACTTTTGGATTTCAAAAAAAAAATTTCACCGATCCGGAAATGATTTTGCTAGATGAGTGTAACAAATACGTTTTGTAGTGAACAATTAATTGTCGTAAATGCCACGCGGGAATAATCGCGAGACAAGAAGCGATTATTCTTTTCCGATATTAGTATAGGGATTAGCTGTTTATCGGCTATATTAATATCGAATAGTGCCAGGGAAATAACGTGTATTTAGAGCAAAGAGTTATTCGTTTATTGATAACAATATATGAATAAAGAAATTGAAAGTAATCGAGCGCACTGAATCTAGCGGAGAATCGCACTGCTTATATATCTACTTTGACCGATACTTACGGATCCTCTTTTTCTATTACGCAGCCCATTTAGATTATTCTATTTTTTTATGTCAAATGAACTATTTTTAGTCACATGGATGCAAAACGTGTGATACCGTGAGGAATACTATTATTACCGAGGTAATATTTACGCTGATGGATGCAGAGAAAGGGACGATTGATATGTGATCTAATCTTTCTTCTAATAATTTTGAGGTTGGTACCTTCTAGTAAGTTTAAAAGCGGACTTCCTCATAGATGCATCAAACAAATTATCTACTGCAAACAAATCACGACTGAATATATTTTATTATTTTGGTTGTTACAAATATGCAAGATGAGAAATGTTCTAACTTTCCAATTTACGCAAGCAAAAAAACTATCTCCTAATACTAAGTATACATAACAATTATATTGTGAAAGAAGAAAGAGATAGGATGGAAGAAGTAATTACGGAAAGCACCACACTCTATCAAACGTGTAAGACAAGCTATGCTGAGCGGATGATTACTTTAAAATTACACGGTTATCCCAAATCCTTTTCGCCCTTTCTTCCAGTTGACGATTGAACTCCTTTACAGGAATCCGCTCACCCGTGTCCTCCATGACGACACAAATATTTTCTGGATATAAAAAATTATTTGTGAGGCCATCTATAAGATTTTTTCCCATATATTCCAAGCCTTGTTGCATCTTGTTCCATTCATACATATTGCCACCTTTATCTAATAACCAGATAACGAATCCAGAATGATCTATGAATATTGGTTGAACGTCAGTGATTCCAAATTTTTCATTAAGATACTCAATATATTCTGCATCTACAAAGTCCAATGAGTCTTCGTTTGTTATTTGGCGAAAACCGAAACGATTATTTTTATCTAACTGTTCACAAAGGTAATCCGGCAAGTTTTGCAATTTTGACAAGATGGAATCTTTTTTTTCGTTCGCACATTGATTGTGCACGTTTTGATCGGAATATTGGGCCTCAACATGGCTAGGTAAGTCCAGAAGTTTGTTTCCGCACAATTCCTGTAGTCCCATTTCTCTTGACTTTGACGTATCGTTCCATTCGGATCTCGTGGGAAAAGGTACGAATCGTTGTTCTGCCGAATCATGACCAAGGGTCTTCTGTCTTTCTGGTTTGTCGCTATAACTGACGCTCCGTAAGAGATTGCTATTATTCTTTGACGATTGGTCGTCCAAGACATGTTCCCTGATGTTGGATGTTTGGTAGAGTTGCGGGCAGGCTCTAGAATATTCATCTAGCCTGCTAACTGAACAAGGTGTCGACATAAAAATGTCTTGAATTTCCTCAGTCTTCGTTTCTTTTTTCCCAAGCTCCTCGTCGCCATCTTTGTAATGTATTCCCAAATCTAAAGTAAAGAATCTTTAAGAAACATTTTTTCCTTGTTATTCATAGAATTGGTAAATAAAAACTAGACTTACCGCGTTCTGATTCCATGTTCGCCTTAGAGGGGGGTAGAGCATCAGGAGTAGAGTTATTAAAGTTATTCATGTTGCTCATTGTGCTTTTGAAACGCGTATATTACGTATGTAGTATGTTAGAACGATATATTTGAAAGTACGAAAAGCCTGCCTGAGTCTAAAAGTTTGATTAGTTCATTTGCAAAAAAGTGACTTTAGAGCTTGCAAACTAATTGTACCCATTCTGTATTTTCTGTCAGTATTGATTTGAAAGTACAGTCAACTCTGTTTATACCGGAAATGTATATACCGGAACAATCTCCTTTGTACCGGACGGACTGATTCTTACGCGCCGTTCGTTTCATATGAAAATTCTTTGTTTATACCAGTTCCGGAAGAACACAGAGAGCTATGCCAACCCGTCCGCTATAAACAGAATTGACTGTATATAGATACACGCTTAACATAATGTTATGATGCAATTATTATTATGATCAACACATACATATGTTAAGTCAATTGCATTGACAATAATCAATGGTCAAAGTCATCGAAAATACATCGTATACGTAGTGAATGTAACATAGAACCATTGAATGAGATGAAATTATTTACATAAACGATCGAATTGGTTCTATTTGTAAGGGAAAGTGGCTATTACTATTCCCAAATATTATCGCTTGTAACTACGTCACACTTTTTTCTCGGACAGATGTACACAGTGTAAAATCAATTAGGGAAATACCCCGGGTATACGTGTTGGAGTTTTACGGTAGTTCAAAAAAAAAACCAGAAACTAAAAGCTTTAACGAGTTCGTGCTTTCTTCTTAGTGGGTGAATAGAGTAGATAAATATAGATAATGTATTCCTCCGTAATTTCCGCTGTCAGTACTGCGACAAACGCACGAGCTGCGG